TATATGTAGAAACCCTTTTTTAAACTGAAATTGGCCTTTACCTTCTCTTTTTTGAAAAAAGCGTATTCGGTATCATCATCAAATATGCGATTAGAGAGGCCTATTTTCCGGTAGCGGAGGACGATTGGACAATTGCCCGTCCTTTCAAGTAGTGGTAGTGGAGATCTTGGGTAGGAGAGCTAGGGGAAAGAGGCAGATGCTTTTGCATTTCCTCCTGAAAAGCCGACGGAGTCTATCTGAAAAGGATCTTCCCAATCTCCTGTGCCAACTTAAAGAAGCAGGCTTGGCGAAGGTTCTGCAGAACAACATCTTTGCCATCATATACCCTGCTGAAGTCCTGCTCTGGATCTGGAGCGCAATAGCGCCCATGGTTGATGCACTGCGACTTGCACTGTTGCCTCATGATAAAAGCCTGGGGGCAATACCAAGTTATATAATGCGGAGTGAACTGCGTGTAGCCTTTCTGCTCCAAAATCTGGGCAGCCCCTTTGAAATCCCTGACAAAGTTGAGCTGACTTTCACACTTGGATCCGCACTCATCACTGCTGGTGGTCCAGAACTCGTACTCGACGCGCTCTTCGGGATGTGGTAGAGCTTCCCTCCAATCAAGATTTATGTTGACTATTTCTCCTTTGGCTAATTCCTTCTTGATCTGGTCCCCAAGTTCCTTGCAGATGAGCGCGGATTGGATGCTTATGGTTTGCACGTATTTGGACTGTGCATCAGCTTCTTCTGGGGTGTCCATGGTGATAAGAGGCTCAACCCGGTAATCCGCAACCAGTATAACTGCAGCACCAGCTCTCTGAGCATTCCATGCCTTCAGCGTGAAATAACTATCTGCCGAACGATCAATTAAAGCGAATTCATTCACAAGGAAACACAGGAAATTTCCCATATCGTGATAACATTAAGAAGGAAGAAGAAGAGGGAAGATCCTTAAAGGCAGTTCTTCTTAGTCAACCCCTGAATTCCTCTGTCCTTAGAGATTCGGTTCAAGTATTGGCCTAGCGGGGATATCCCTTGTAGGTACGTACTTGACCGCTTTCTAATTCACTCATCCTTTAGGACTTGATTTAGTATAGGTGTAAAGTCAAAGATTCCTTCCAAAGCGAGGGGTAGTGTCTGCTTTCGTGGCATTAAAGTACGAAAGGCTAAAGGCCCTTGTGCCCTTTCTCAATATCCGTTTAAAACTCTGTTCCTGCTTACGATTCTCTTTCCTCGGTGAAAGTCGAATTACTAATTGAATATATAGTGAAGTGACGTGCCTTGCCTTTATTTAAAGAATTTCTCATTCGATCTTCTTCCTGATGCTGCTAACCGGGATCTATATCCAAGCAATAGAAGACTGTTCTGGGGTACTACTATAGTTACTATTCCTAATTGAGAGTTCTATTCCTACCAGGAGTGATATTAGCAAGAGCTTGATTGATTTACGGAGATCCAATCCCGAACGTACTATCATCTCATAAGTAGAGGAATCCGGGGTCAAGAGATGGAAGACGCTGCGCACCTGCCATTATCCTAAAAAGCAAGAACAAGGCTTTTAGCAGTTTGCTTGCTTGACCGAAGGGCTATCTGATCCGATCAACTGCCTAAGCCGTAGGTCGATAGCGCGCCTACTCTTATCCCCCTGGATAACCTCCAAGACTAAGTCAGTCAGAACTAGTCGAATCACCAATAAGAAGGATAAAGCGCACATATGCGAAAAATCCAAAACGCCATGGAAGGCCAGAGAGAGACACACAAATCTCTCCAGTGCACACCAACATCAACTTACAAAAGGCTTCTATTGAAAGCGGTGTCGCTGTCGGTGATAGTCAAAAGGCTGACTCTGAAATGTCTTATCATACCTACAGCTGCGGAATAGCTATTGAGAAAGGGAATGGGAACTGACGAAGGGCTGACGCTCTCATTCTAAAGTGCCGGTATTCGTTTTACTTGCCTCTAAAGACAAGAACCTATATTAAATAGAGAAGAAATGACTCTTCTTTTTAAGAAATAGACGGCAAAGGACTTGAATCGACCCTTGCCTATTGAAGCGAGTATAAGAAACGAGCTTAATTGAAAGCCTTGACAGCAATTCCGCATCACATAGACAAGGCTTTGTCTATTCGATCTATCTGTCTATTGCGTAGAGCACCTACTATTCATCTTAGTCCCATAATGCTTGGGACTTCTAGATTTCAATGCTTTCCTTCTTGCATTGGAGTGAAGTAAGGAATTCGATCTCAAACTTACGAGGCAACGACAGGGGACTTCCCATTCACTTCAAGAGACAAAGAAGCAAGAAGGGAATCTTGGGAAGAGCTAAAGAGCAGGCTAACCCGAATCAGCAAGAAAATGGATGCGCGTTAGCGCAACGGCTTTCGCGCTAGTTGCTCAATCCCTTGCTTGTTGGAAATCCACCAGAAATATTTTCATCCTAAAGCTGCGAACTCTTACTCCCCCTTATGATGAAAGGGATCGAGCAATCATAAATATTCCTAAGGGCCAGTTCTTTTAAGTCAATCCAGAGTACCACGTCGAGGACAAGGGATTCAGAAGCTAGTAGATCCATCATCTACTCTATAAAAGCTTAAGCAGATGAATCCTGAGTAGAGTCAAATCAATCCTAGGTAAATGTCAACAAGAAAGACCTTGCTTTTAAGTACCAAATAATGGCCTTTGCTTTCATTTCCACTAGCTTTAGGATTAGGCATCATAAAGAAAGGAGCATCGATAGCATCCAGCTTGAATGAATTTAATAAAGAATGCTCTTTCAAGCGGGCCAACTAAAGTACCAGTGAGCGAGGCTTGTCCATCACTAGCAAGGGACCGAACTCGTACCCGCTGATGGATCTTTCAACTAGGGTACCTCTGAAGCTGCTTCGTGTGCCATTTCTGTTACTAATGCTAAGCTGAATCGCTTCGGTAGCTCTCTTGCTAACTGTAGATAGGGTTCGGGAGAGATAAATTCGAGTGGCTTGCCTTCTATGATCTATAGGAGTTAAGGATTAAATGGATATGGGAAAGTTCTTATTCAAAGAAAGAAAGGAATGACATCGATTATTCCTTCAACATCTGACATTTCATTTGCTTAGAAATATCGTAAGAGAAGAAGATTTCATCTTTTACTTGAAAGTGGTTAAGGTTATCCTTTTCTAGCTCTCCACCTATTAGCATATTACCAATGAGTCTACAGTTCTTCCCTTCTTCTTTGGAGTTAGAGTCCCTCTATCTATTGAAATGACAAGGAGCGGGACACTTTACTATAGATGGAAATAGCTTTTAATGGATTCCCCTTCATAAGAGCTAGTGGATACAAATGGAGATGGCATGAGCTTCTTTCTTCAAGACAGAGGAGCGACAACTCGTAAACTCGACCCAACTTTAGAAACGAAGCCGCAAGAAAATGTATGCGCTAACGCGCAACGGCTTTCGCGCTAGTTGCTCAATCCCTTGCTTGTTCAGTCAAAGGGTACGCAGCCATCTTTACATAGAATCTATTAAGGGCACGGACGAGAACAAAACAGGTAGCTGAGCACAAAGTAGGCATTCTTACTTACACTTTGACTACAGTGAATGGGAAGCAAGCAGATTGAAGCCATTGAGTTTACAACGAATGAAGAGATAGCAGCTTACTTCGGAGCCAGAGTAGCGATCTTCGGAGGTAGAGGTACACTAACGAGTTAGCTACTTCTCCATTATGAACGAGGAAATCCCCTTATTCAAAGAATGAAGCGAGATTGGAAACGATAGAAAGGCGCTAGTCTTGGAAATGGGAATCATTTTGCCATCTCTGTGAAGTAGATAGAGGGTTACAACAGTTTGAGCTACAGGGATATCCTATATTGCATTCCTAGGAATGACCTTCAATATAGCCTAATTGAATCTCTCGCTATATTAGGATGACCTACTCAGATATAGATGGAGTAGTACGTGCATTGTTCATCTCCATAGGCTGGTATGGATCGATCAGGAAAAGGTCCTTCTATCAGTACTATAAAGCGAGCGTATAGGATCCCTACTAAACTAAACTCATACTTGTAGTCGGCAAGCCCTCGATCAATCTATCAATTGCAGAGCTAGAAGCAAACTTCCGAGGTAGACTAGTTTGACTCGATCAATCAAAGTAGAAAGAATCAGACCTTAAGTAGTAAGTATAAGTAGAAGGATGACATAGGTATACTTTTTCCATATCTCTTGTTTGCCTGTCCTATCGATTGACAAAGAAATGGCTTCGCTCAGTCTTTCTGCCTTTCATCGTGACCCCGGAAGAGCATGCGCTTTTCATTTGTGCTTGGATCGAGACTTCGCTTTGACCAGTCTCCCATCCATACTAAAATTTCACTGGCCTTCCTGCCCTTCAAACATGGGCCATAGTCCTTATCCATCTCAGGCTCTTAGCCAACTCTCTTCTCTTATGTGATTTAGAATTTCTGCCTAGACCGACTCTATGCCAATCGAGCTACTCCAATCTCCGATCTCTCATTCTCTGGATGGGCTGCGTACAGATCAACAATCTTTCGTTTTGACCAGTTCCCCCAAGGGACTATGATGAAAACCGGCATGCCCAATGGAACGATCTATTACATCTTTCCTCTCCAGTAAGACCTCACTCACAATGGTCTATCTCCGCGCTACTAGAGCGACCAAGCGACGTAGTAGATCTTCGACTGACTTATATGAATGATCTCACTAGCCCCGTCGCAAGTCATCACCAGTCCTTGAGTTGAGTTCTTTTTTTCCGTCTATCGATCAACAGCGCTTCAATAGCAATAGAATGGGAACTTCCTCGGCTCCATTAGAAAGGGGCTTGCATTCTGCCCATTTCCCTACTTTTTCGTTCTTTCTGAGTCTGAGAAAGAAGATCCGTGAACCACTCTACTCACCAAAGCTAATGTCGACCCTGAGAGCATTTGGACACCACGCCTCTTCAAAGTGGGCTTCGCATCCATCCCCATTGATCTCTTTTTATATCCCGCAGATCCAGAGAGTTGGCTGGTGTGCTGTTCATGAAGCGCAGGGGAAACCTGCAAAGTCAGACGCAAATTCAAGAGTCACAAGGAATGGAAATAGAATGAACATGGAATCCCCACTTTTTCTTCTGTGCTTGTTCTGGCCCTCGCCGCCAAGTCAGGGAGCAGCGACCTTCTTTGTCTTTCTATGCCAATCAGTATCCCCTAATTCCAATTGTTATACAGATTGCAAGTGGGACCTAGCTCCTGTCTTGTCCAATTGAAAGAGAATTATTTTGTCGACCCAAGCATCTTCCATTCGCTATCTTTTCGGCGTAGTGCCACAGCCTAGAGCCATCCATTATACTTCCCTTCAAAGAATCTCTCTCTCTCTCGCGCTAGCTATAGAAGGCTTGGCAGAGCTGCCAACTATAATATCTGTTATAGACATGCCTCGGCCTAGTCGCTACATTCTACCTTCTGCTACCTTCTCCCAAAGAGCTACGGGGGTGACAGTTCCCTTTTCTCATGCTTCATCTGCCCGGTGATTAAAATCCCTGAATGAGGTGACAAATCGAGTGATTCCACAAGTTTTTGACACGGTTTTCGAAAGATGGGTCTAAAGCCACTCGCTTGATCGCCTAGCTAGCAGCGTTGCATGCGCATTTCTCTTTTTCTTACCCCCGGAACTGCAGATCTCGCTGACTCTGATTTGTCTGCTTGTGCCTGATTGAGTATGTTGACTCGTCAGTGCTATTAGCGGCATCGTGTTGGTTCAAAATGCAAATGGGTTCTTGAAGAATGGAGTTTGCTTCACACAAGGTGTTGTCCCAGACATCGAGTCATTTCATATCATAACATAATAGAAGAAACTGCCCTTACTCTCCAAATTGGCCTGCTGGCAAGAAGGATGAATTGAATGATTGTTGACTGATTTCGGGCTTTTTTTTAGGTAAGG